GACTAACTGACGGCACTGGCAAATCAACGTATTTCATCCAAATTTAAAATTTAATGAAATCGCACTGAGACATTTCCCCAAAAACTCCTTCGAAGATTGAAAAGAACTACACTTCACCTTCCAAAAGCCAGATTTTCAGTGGATAATTTTGTTTAGCACATAGTTAAATAACGGGTTACTCTTGATCTATTTTTAATCAAATTAGATGAAGGTTGGATAAGTTCAATTAGTTTGTGTATACTAAACAATCAACAATTACTCAGATTCCTGTCAACATATGTTTTGATGTTGTTTTACAAGATTTGGTACTTTTCATCGTGGCGCGACGTTCCGGGATTCGTCTAAAAAATTTTGAGCTTCTAAAGCGGCTTTTGGTGGAATTCAGTTGTTATCGATTTTCTCGAAAATAAATTGATATTCAGCCAAACGAAGTATGCAGTTCTTTCTTTCACTGTCAGGCCCACCCAACTTGAGAATATGAGCCGAATCGATTTTTTGGCTGTTCCCACGATATTCCGAAAGTGTGCAATTCTTGGCTACATTTGCTCTTAATACCTTATCAAAACCATTATTTCTAGAATTTTAACTGTCGAACAAACAAGTAAATTCTATATTGGTATGCGTCTGTTCAATGATGATACACGGGACGCAACGGAGTGTCTGTAATGTTCTAAGCCCATTTTTTAATGCACAATTTCAGAATAGACCCACGGCAATATGGAATCCATTTGTTTTTGTAATAAAAATAGAAATATTGTCAATGGTGACTTTGTCTATGGATATTTTCTTCTCTAGATCATACCAAGAATCAATTAAATTAGATTCAAACTTACTATACATGTACTAGAGAAAATTGCAGTCATTAAAGTGGTTCAAAATATGGATGGCTGTAAACCTCAGCTAAAGGTCAAATTTCTTTTTACACCTTTCTTAGAATATAAAAAATTAGAAAAAACGTCAGCTGGAACTTTTACAGCTACATGAATTCCTCATTATTCTTTGATCATTCTGTTCTGTTCTTGGTTTTTGACTGCCAGATGTTGCATTCTCAAATTTGTTGCAGTCTGTGGAAAAGTGAATTGAGTGAGTACCTTCTTCGATAACTCTCATTTCCATTCCCTGGTCTTGAGCTAGCACAAAACAAAAACACAAGCGACAAAAACGTCAGCAACAAACACATTATTCACTCATGAGGTAGTCATATTTTTCAATGAGACTGAGTGTAACTAAGTGTTGACATGAAATAAACAAGCTTGTTATTAAATATAGATACCTGTCTATTACTTATTCACTTGACTTATAAGTCAATTTGATTTATAAACACGCGGCATATCTGCTCTTAGAACTGTTTTTTACGTAGCTTTATAACATGAAACAGAAAAAAAATGAAAGAACGGGGAATAACACTATACAGAATGACGAAAGATTAGTTAAAGTTGTTAAAAGTTACCTTCAACATTTTGATTTCGGCCGAGTTTTGCTATCAGATAATCCCACAACGGTCGGAGTTTGGCATTGATGACACCTCGAACCTTAATACATCAATAATAACACACAGTTGTAAACAGTAAACAGTGCTTTCTCTCCACTCCCCATTTTAAACCTTCGAGTCTTTGATTTCCCCTCGAATGCGAATGAATATAGAAATGGCAAAATTAAACTTAATCGCCGAAGATATATTTTTCAACCGTTCAAATAATGACCTCGTGTACCTGTGGGGTATTTAGGTCTGTCTTGTCATTGACTTTGCTTGCATCGAGATGCATCTGCTGAAGCTGAGCAATTAACTGTGCAGAACCTAAGTGAACAAACGGATGGAGGAACAGAGGATAAATACCACCATGCTCGTGATTTAAGGAGGCCAAAACAGAACAATTCTACGTTTTAAATACTTTTTCTCTAGGTTTCCACGAGTTCTTAATAATAAGTTTCTTTGATATATAGAGGAACGTTATAGAAAAGCAAGTAAAAAGTAATTCTTAGCCAACTGAGGTACTTCAGGTTCGTTTTCACGTAAGTTGGGGTCAAAATGGCAAATATTATTTAAAATAACTAGATAACTCTCCATAATATCATCCAGATCAGAAATTCAGAGGAACGTGATTTTCTTGAGACTAGCGTTTGAACACAGCTAGGTGTCCATTTCAGCACGTCTCACTTGTTCTAAACATCCTTGAGAGGCAGTCTCTCTAAAAGCGGTAAAGTCCATTTCGGCAACATTCCGCCTGGTTCGCGGTTCGGTTGAAGACTTATATCTAAACAAAGACCTCTTGAAGTAATTACAGCCCCCTTTTCAACGAATTGGGTATAGAGAAACCCCGTGAACAATCGTTATCAGGAGGGGTTGACTATTCTTCCGAGTTATATCACTACTGTGAGAGCGATGCAAAATTTTCAGAACTGCAATCCTCTATTGTGATACAGCAACATGAAGGATGAATGAATATTATGTTGAAAAAACTGTGGTGAATTGCGAAACAATCGAGTTTGCGTGTGTATGTATACAGTTTCGACTAACTGTCGGCACTGTCTAATCAACGCATTTCATCCACTTTTAAAATTTAATGAAATCGCACTGAAACATTTCCCCTAAAACTCCTTCGAAGATTGAAAAGAACTACCCTTCATCTTCCAGAAGCCAGATTTTCAGTGGATAATTTTGTTTAGCACATAGTTAAATAACGGGTTACTCTTGATCTATTTTAATCAAATTAGATAAAGGTCGGATAAATTCAATTAGTTTGTGTATACAAAACAATCAACAACTACTCAAATTGCTGTCAACATATGTTTTGATGTTGTTTTACAAGATTTGGTACTTTTCATCGTGGCGCGACGTTCCGAGATTCGTCTAAAAAATGTTGAGCTTCTAAAGCGGCAA